TTTTTTAACTATCTCCTTTATCCTTTATTATAAACAATGAAAGCTGTGCCATTGGGTTGCTGCAAATAATGCTTTCACATATTAAAAAAAAAAACCACATTATTTTGAAGGATATGTAAAAACACACTGCAAGCTCTAGCTGGCATTTCAGTAGTAATTTGCCTACCCATTAACTATAGTTTTTACCCGGTCTGAGGGAGGTTCTTTGGAAGTTTAGTGCAAAGATACAATGTCAGCCCTGAAAGTCAGCAAAATCCTAGAAGTCAGCTGTTAGTTTCTGGTCCTAGGTATGAATGTTCTTCGGATTTCTCTGTCTCCTGCTAATATTTTTCTTTTCACTAGAAAGGCATAACTTAAGGTGGTGACACGATGGAGAATGACAATGGGCAATGTAGGTGGGAATTTTTGTTTGAACTAAGTATTAGGCCAAACAGTGGCTGAAAAGGGTTGTGAAATTCAGTGTCATCTTTTAGGAATGAAGACAATTTGTAAATAATAGAAACAATACCCAGTACCAAAAAAAAAAAAAAAAAAAAAAAAAAAAGAAAAAGGAACAAGAACAGCTCTTAACATAATTTTAGCTTTAATGATGAAAAACTTTGCCTTCCTTAGGGCAAGGAAGAGCCCAGAACCCAGTAATGAATGAAAAGAGGAATCACAGCCCAGTGTTAAGAATTTCCTAGCTGTATGATCTTGGAAAATCTAGATCTCGAGCTTCAATTTTTGCAGCTCTAAAATCGAGGTTCAGATCTCGCATTAAGCACAATGCCAGGGATGAGAAAATGAGAGCAGTGTGGTCTAACGGCCAGAGTCCAGGAGGATCCGCTCCGAGTTCCTGCAGGATGAGTTACTGCAGGGTGTGTGTTGGGGGAAGCAGAGGGGCAGACCGACTGCTTTTCTTTCAGGAAAGGAAGGGCTGGTTCCGCGGTCGGATGTAGCCGAGCCGCGCACTTGGGCAGCTCGGAGGCGGCGCCCCCGAAGGCGCTAGCGGAGGCCCAGGCCACACCCGAGGACCCCACCCGGGCCACGCCCGCGGGAGCTCCGGCTGCTCGCGGCCGGCTCCCGGACCTGCCCGCCCGGCGGGGCCAATCCCCGAGGGCTGGAACTCACCTGAGGGGCAGGTGCGCGCG